CTGCGGTTCAAGTTTCTGCTTGAAGTGAAGAGCACTTCAGTGCGGACAAACCAAGGCTGCCTTTAGTCCAGTCTTGCTGGACACGCAGCAGCTGGGAGAAGATAGAAAGCCCCAGATTCCCGTCGTGGTGGGACTGAGGAGCACTGTGCAGCCAGGGCTGGCGGAACAGGGTGCAGGCTTGAGCTCAGCTCCAGGCGTGCAGGGACTGAGCGGGGAAGAAGGCACCTTGGGCTCAAGAGCTGGGCTTTGACAGTGGAAGAGAGCAGTGGAAAAAAGCTCCCTGTGGGAGGTCGGCAGTAAGGTAGTGGGATAGAGATCCTAGTTTCAGAGTCAAAGGGGTGGAAGGAGATAAATGTCCAGGATACTTTTTCTGCAGGAGATGCTAACCTTCATCAGAGGTGCTGGTGTCTGGGGCCTGTTGTGGGTTAGAGAGAGCATCTGGGAGTGTGTGAGACCTCCCCAACAGTAGCCTATCAAAGACAGGCAAATAGTTAATCTGCAGTGTTGTAATGTTTTCCCTCTTTACTCATTAACCCACTGCTCTGCTCTGTGTTAGCCCTTGACTCCCACATACCCGTGTGTTTGCTGAGCTGAGTTTCTTGTGCGCTGAAGCAGGACAGTCTACAGTCCCACAGTGCTAGGTGGGATCTGCCCTGCATCCGTTGCTGCTTTGGGGGAAAATGTTAGCTTTTTGCATAGTATAGCTGAGTGACCCATGATATTGAGGGTCACAATTTAAATTGTACATTTTAGGAAAGTCTAAACCCTCACCTTGTTATGAATCTGGGGTTTGATGCCCCGCATTCCTGGTCCTGTCACACCATGATGTGCAACTGCAGTTGCAACAACGTGGTCTACCTGGCCTAGCACCCATCCGAGCAAAGCCCTTGTGCAGCTGCGGCTGATACACGTCTGGCAAGAGGAGCATGATGTGGCCATGCTAAATCCCCAAGGGATCATGTGTGGGTCATGTCATTTAAGTGCTGCTTTCTGTCTGGCAAGGTCTGTGTTCACTCCCCAGCTCTTCCATGTCACTATTGAGCTGGAGGAGCAGTATCAGTTTTCATCCTCTCCTATTCGATTTGCAGGCCCCAGCAGTCTTCTGGATATTTCTTCCAATATTTTCATCTCGTGGTCATTTCAGTATGTTCAGCCTGTGCTCTCGTCTATCAACAACCTGCCATTCGAAGAGCAATATCTATCTGTTAGGCATGCCAAGATCCTCCAAGGCTGACATGGATTTTGCAGAGCAAGCACATCAAGCAGAGGGATGCTTTGCTGGTGACTCCTGCAAGGTGCTGAAAAGAGGATGGGTGCCCAAGAGTTCAATGTTATAAAGACTGCACATACCAGGAGCTGAAACGTCAGTGCTGAAGACAGTCTGTTTGCCCTGACATTGCCTCAGGTGGGTGGGAGGGAGAGACGGGAATGAGAGCGCATCACATACTCTATTTTTTGCACAAGAAAGGATGGACTTACACAGCTGACCATCTCTGCCATGGCAGAGAAATGGAGAAAAGTGCTTCCTTTCAGTCCAAAGTTTAATAATGAACTTTCCCCGAATGATAGGCCATAAAGGCTTAAGCCCTCCTAGATGGTCTCTCACAGCTGACTCTCTGCTCAGCATCCTGTTTCCTGAGACTACTTCTTTTGGTAATTCAGGAGAGAGTTGGAGAGAGGGACATTTATTTCATCTGTAGATATATGTAAGACAAACCATAGGAACCAGTATCCTGCTGTTGCATCTTTTTTGCAGTGGCTTGATGGATTTGAGAGGGCCGAAGTCTGATAATGTGAACCCAACAGTCAGCATCCCAGCTCCACAGTCACTCTTATGAACGTAGACTTAGATTATTGACCACATAGATGCAGAAACATGGTTGAATTCAGTGGGAGTCAGGGGCCTAAACGCTGCTGAGGACCTGAGTTTACCTTTCTCAAGCCAGCCATCCTAGCTCAATGGCTTCTTTGGAAATCATAATCTTTGCCATGAAGCTCATACATACTTAAGGACACTACAGGATAAGCATAATGGACAACAATATCATTACTGAAGCCCCATATCAGAACAGTTTAGTGTATAGGAGGTTGCAATAAAGAAAACCAGGGCTTAAACGTACCAGGTTTCTTGTGCCAATGCATGAAATGAATGCACAAAGGAAACGTGGTTCTTTAGTGTATGCAAATTTATTCAACTCTGCAATTATTTATTTACAATTAATGACTGATACCAACAGATGAGGTAAAAATATGAGGTATTGATATGAGTATAACATTTAAGAATGCAATTATCATAATGTACTCTCAATGGCAATGCAACAATACAAAATACTGTGGTAGCTGAATGGTAGACATGGCATAGTGTTCATTTTAAAGAAATCTTATTTCATTGATACATGGCTTAGAGATGCCAGAAGCACACGACAGAGCTTCTGCACGGGTAGGAGGACAACCCTACCTTGCCAACAGTGGCAGGTGGCACAGGGCCCCTTCCAGCTGGGCGATGACTTATCAGACAGGATAAAACCACTGTCCAGGTTTTCCCTTCATTTCCTTAAGAAATTATTTACTGTCAAGACAACTGCCGTTCCCAAGGCCAGAAACTCTGCACCCGTTAATACTGAGGCACTCGTATTCATTTATGCAAACTAACATAGCAGAAGTGCTCTAATTGCTCGTGTTTTGGAAAACAGCCGGCACGAAACCTGCTGCCATGGCTACAGGCATTTGGGGAGGAGGTGCCATTTTCTGGGATGGCAGTCCTGCTGCAATCAGGGGACTGGCCTTGCCCCACCAGCTCGCGAGCCACCTCTTGCTGCTGGGAAGGCTGGAGCTGGTCCATGGTGGTGCCCTGCAGCTGGCTGGTGACTGCCAGACCTCAACACAGCCATATGAGAGTGTGAGCGCTCCCCTGTCTTTAAGACTTAAAAACATGCAATAGTTGCATATTGCAACTACTGTTGGCCATCAACTCAAGGCAGGAGCTCTTGGGCAGCCAACCTCCCTGATCCTACAAGTTGCACAATAAAAATGTGAGTGAGGCAGCTCATGGGGCAAGATGACGACAGTGACTTTTTTTGGGTCCTGCTGCTCCACGGAGACACTGTGCTGGGTCACCCTGTCCCTGTCCACCCCGAGCTCCCAGCAGCTTGCTTCCTCAGATTGCAGGGCTGTCCCCACCAGCACAGCCCTATACATGTGTGCACGATGCCACGTGGGACTGTGCTCTAGCAGCAATCGAGGACCAGACATGGTCCACTCCACAGCCCTCATAGCTGGGGCAGATTCAAAGCACTGGCTTTGAAGAGATTTCCCTGTTTACTGAATTGGGGCACAAAACTCTATAGTCTCACGTAGGAAATGTATCCCGCTTAGTTGACCTCATACTGAATCTTAATGGATTTTGGTGGAAGGACTGAGCTAAAACACCAGCTATGAATGACTCAGCTGGTTTATGCAGCAATAAATAAAGTCAAAGTGAACAAATGCGATTAATGAAGAACAATATTAACAGGCTTGTACATTCTTATTGAATCATAGATGTAATATAATTTTTGGTCTTAGGTTAGTTAAGAACAAAACGGAACCCTGCCTCAAAGGTAATGTCAACAAATTATTACTTTTAAAGCATTCTTCTATTAGCAAAATAATAGGTCCCTGAAAATGAAATGATATAATAGGCTTAAATGGCTCCTACTCCTCATAGTCAGGGGCTAATCCTGCTCCCACCAATGCCTACAGAGGCAGGAATCATGCAGATCAGTGCAATATAATGTGAAAATGCTTGCTGTTACTATAAAAGCAATGTTTCCAAGCATAGTCTACATTTAGTCTTTTAAATCTCCAAGATGTGTTTAAAAGCTTAAAAAAAGTTTCATTATTTGTATATTAAGAATATTAAAAGGCATGGTATTCATCTGCACGTCTTTGTGTCCACTGGACGGGAAAAATCTGCTTTGGAGTTTCTTAACAATTAGCCATCTCTATGGGAGAAGGAAAGAAGAACACAGAAACGCTTACTCAGAACCTAGACAAAATGCTAAAAAAAAAAAAAAAAAGACTTACAGCTTAATAACTTACCGGGCTGATTTCAGACACCTCGGTAAACGCAGCGTTATCGTGTGCTCTCCAAGAATGAGCCATTAGCATGAACGCTGCACATAGCGAGGTTCTCTAGTGGCAGATACACCATTACTTAAGGCAATAGGTAAGTTTTCAACACCTTGTACACAAACTTCCTGCAGCTGAATAGAAATGGCCTTCAAAATCGTCCCTCTCAGTTACATTTCCATGTGTTTTATTTGGTGAAACTGATCCACTCCTCATTATTTTGAAACGTACAGTAGCCTCCCTCCTCCTTAGCTCTTTTAATTCTTCCTACATCTATTTCTAGGTACCTTCTCACAGCATACACAAACACAAAACATATTTGAGAACAGGCGTTTCCGTTATCACATGGATTATGCCCGGTAGCCCTGTGATAATGGCAAACACAGCTTATGTAGCAGTGACACACTAAGGAACAAGTGACAGACTCATTTACGATCCGACCGATGCAAGAGATTTGCACTGAGTTATATACAAAATAATTAATTTATACATATACATATATATAGATAGATATAATATAAATATATACATACTGTACATAAGTTATTTACAATTAAAATATGCTTCTTAGAAGCCTTTAAATACCAGCGTTCTGTAACACACAAGTAATAGCAAAAGTAATAATGGTAAAAGTAATAATGGTAAAGTAATAATGGTAAAAGCTCTCTGAAGAAATGTTTACTTCAAAAATTGAAATTAACACAGAAGAGATGTGGCAGGAGGAGGTGAAGTCTCCAGGATAAAAGAGCTTTCCTGTAAAGTTCCTGTTTCATCTTTGTACAGACCCAGGCCTGGTAAGATTTCTGCAGCTTAAATAAGATCTTTGCTTTCAGCCTTCCCATTCCCTGCCAGACCCCAATTTACGCTCACACTGTCCCGGGAACACTTCCTCAGATTTTCGTTTCTGGTCCCTCAGCAATCAGAGGCTGAAATGAGTTTCTGATCCTGGCAACTTCTGCTGCACACAGATGTCCAAAGCCTTTGTTGTACCACTCTGGGGAATGTCCTCTGAAGAAATGGAAAGAGAATTATTGAGAAACTCAAATACTCAAGAAACATGCCCTGCAGGAACGGGCTTGCCACGCTTCCTACTCCCCGCTGCCCACAGCGGTGGTGGGGACTTCAAATACTTGTCATTGTAAGCGCACTCTGAATTTCTCCCTTGCAGTAATCAAATAACCGGATTTTATTTCTACGATCAGATCACAACAGCAGTAGACACTGAGCAGAGAAATGAGCTTGGTGGATAGAAAAGACTGCAGGAAGGCTCCAAAGCAGCAAAGCGACATTGACCATGTCCTCTGCTCCCAACACCTCCCCTCCTCCAGTTGCTGCTTTTTGCCCTGCT